GTAAGGGGTTTTGGAAAATAGGTGCGACTTATCTCATATCTTTATTTAAATAGAAATGGCAAAGGTAGATAAACAAATGTTTTCTTATAGGATATGGGTTAGACAGTATTCATGAATCTTCAGATCCTGTAGCAGCTGTAAGGAAATCTGAAGCAATATTTATTGGTAAGTGTTAGTTTTTGGACCTTTTCCCCGCTTAAGTATAACATGGAAAAATTAGTGCAGTCTCACACAACACTTATATAGGAGAAACGGGACTGAAGGACTTGATTCTGTCCAAGAGGGCTGGTCATTAAAAACAACTCAGATAAGAAAACATTTCTAGTTCACAGTGGCAATTAGGAGTTCCCTTCTAGTTAAGATTAGGAGTGTATATTGGGGTGGGGGCTACATGTTAAGACCTGATCTTGCAGAGACTTAGACATTTCACTGTTTATACTGTTGTGTATCATATTGCATCTGAACAATGAAAACTGACATCTGTTTCAGGGTCTCATTCACTAGTGGAATGCTGAAATGTTGGGAATACAAAAATTCTATAAGGGTTTGATGTCTGTCTCAGGATCTCTCAATTTTAAAGAGAATCAATTATATTGAGAAACCCCTATAATTTAGGTCTAAACTCTGATTGGCCCTCCTAACAACATACTACACTGTCATGACTTGGATTTGACATCTAAACTAAAAATACACTTGAGGCAAAGGCAGAACAAAAAAGGTTAGTAACAGAACCTGGGGGGGGGGAGGGATAGCTCAGTGGTTTGAGCATTGGCCTGCTAAACCCAGGGTTGTGAGCTCAATCCTTGAGGGGGCCACTTAGGGATCTGGAGCAAAAAAATCAGTACTTGGTCACTGCTAGTGAAGGCAGGGGGCTGGACTCAATGACCTTTCTGGGTCCCTTCCAGTTGTAGGAGATAGGATATCTCCATTAATCAATATTGATTTAAAAAAACCAAGAGAATCCAGGCTGTTTCCCCATTTGATGGAGGCAGAAATAATAATGTGACTTGAATTCTTCTGGCGTTCAGGTACTGTATCTGTCTACACCAACCGTTGCTGAGCATAACTTTAGACTGTAGCCCATAAGACTAGCTTGTCTTTATTATATTCTCTGCCTTGCCTTTATTATATTCAGCACTAATACAGCAAACTGACAGGCTTGTATCCTTTAAGACATTGGCTTCAACAGTTAGCTGAGGCTTGAGGCCTATGACCTTTGGCACAGATAAACGATCCGAGAGTAACCCCTAAATTTTGGGGAACTGGAAAGACTGTAAGGAGAATTTTGTCAATATTGACATCAGCCACCCACAGAAACATGAGCTAAACACCATCTTTTGGAAAGCTTTGGAAAGAACATCCAACCACAAGAGTGCCATGGCAACGAATTGACACATATGATAATAAATTGAAATGGTTAATATACTAACTTTTATATAAGAAGGACACCTCAACATTAGTAGGGATGAGGAAATACAAATACGGAAGAGTGGAGAAACCCCTACTGAATATACATTAGACACAATGATGTCAGCGTAACCTATTGTAAAAGTTACCTCCCAGCCTGTGGGCTACATCTCTCTCCCACTGCCCCAGGGATGTGTCAGAATGATGGCCACTGGTGATGAGGAGGAAGATAACGGCTAACATTTCAGGTTGTTCTGCAAGGGATGTAGCAAGCCTGGATACTCAAATGTACTTTCTGTATCTACGTTACTGAGTTGGAGGGTTTGACTGTGCTAAATGTATTAATAAACTATTTGTAAATATAGAAGAGTTCCCAACCATATCATAGTCTGAATAATACTGGGGCTGAGCTTGGGACAAGAACCTGTCTATCCTCAAAGTGATAACTGAGGATTCTTAATATAATTAATACCTAATCTATGGATCAGGCTACAAGACCTAGTTTTCAATTTATTTGTAAACGCTTCCGAAAATGTTCTTGCTCTCCATAAGTGCACAAGGTGTAGTCAAAGCATGAACCTTGACTAAGAGGGTCGAGTCTGTTTCATAGAATATCAGAGTTGGAAGGGACCTCAAGAGGTCATCTAGTCCAACCCCCTGCTCAAA